TCCTGCTGACAGCAGCCCTGTGGGCAGGAGCAATAACCTGATTTTGGCATATGGAGAATCTCGGCAGATCAGCTAGCATTGCCGGTCTCGGTTTCTGATATGTGCTTTGAACAAAGGACTTCTTGTTCTCCAGCCCTTTTGTTTATTCATGGGGGAAGAATTGCTCCTCTAAAGCTCGGCCAAGGCCACCAGTCATGAGCATCCATGGGGCTAAAATATAGAGCTAGATTTTCCACCAGCAGATTTTTTTCGTTAAATTTATATGATATAAAATTAGGATCCTTGAAATCATTAGTCACATTTGGAAAGATTGTAGATAGTGAGAAGGGGCAAGAAGGGCTCAGTTTTTCTGTGAGTTTCCTCAGGCATCTCACAGAACTTGTCCTCTCTACAAAACAATGTCCTTGGAGGCCTGTCAGCACTGGAGGTCCAACTTTGGACACTTCAATGAGTGAAGGTTTTCAGAATGGGCAGAGATTTCGTCTGTCATCCAAAATTCATGCCTCTTTAAGACCACAGGAAATACTCTGCCAGAGGAGTGGTGTCTCAGTCTTGACAGAGAGGTTGCCTTGAATTACAACATGGGTGCTGCTGCTAGTTTGGGTGGACAGAGGATACTGAGCTGCCACTCAAGAAAAGTTGTCTGGCCCACCTGGAAGGGGAGGCTAAAGCAGGAGGGAGATCGCCCTGGCAGGACTTGTTTAAAGGTTTGTTTTTGAGTCCTGCTCCCACATGCTGTGTCGGGCTTCCTGTGTGGTCTCAAGTAACAGCTAGTCTCTGTGTGAGTCAGTTCTCGAGTTAGTTACAAAATGGGACTAAAAGCTCCTTTGTACACCACAACAGTCCTTGTCAAGATAAAGAGGGCAATGTCTGAAGGAAGCCTTAGCTGATACCTCAAAGGTGCCGGTGGTGAGGCTGACAACAAGGGCGAGCATGACCAGTCCCACGGCTGAGGGGAGTGCAACCTCACTGCAAGTGAATGTGAGTGACTTGCCATGGACCTCCCACTTCCCCTGAAGTTACAACCATGAAGAATAGACACCCGCTTTCTCCGTTTGCTGGGAGAGCTCACCACTGTGCAACCATGGGACATCACCTCAGAAGGCTTGCCATAGCTCGTGAGCACAATGCTGGTGTGAGCATAGCCATCTGAGTGTTACTTTACATGAAGGCTGTTCATGTTTGAGTGTGATACTTTACTCCCTCGACTGTGCGTTGATAGCATATCCTCGATTCTTGGGTCTGGATTCAGCAAGGATTAAGAAAAAGAGAAGTCTGGCAAAATGAGAACTAATATAAGAGGGTGACTAGCCTCTCTGAAACAGTTTATTGTGTTTAAGGCCATTTCACTGTCCCAAGAGGTAACTCCCTCAATCCCTAAAATAAGCTGACCGACATTTTAGAAACGATGAGTCAGTGACAAAAAGTCAGCTGGTATGAATTTACTGCTTCTGCATTTGGGGAAATAAATGCTGGCAAAAGTGACCTCTGGTTTCCAGGCGTCTGGAAACCCCAGCACAGAGAGAGGCAGGGCAGGCTGCTTTGATGTTTCTTCCTAGGGTTGCATCTCACTGTCCCTTCCGTGGCCCATTTCCAGAAGAAGACAGAGCAGCTCAGGATGGGGGTGTCAGTCGGTGACTGCTGGGGCCTCCCCGGCGAAGTCGGTCCCCCAAACACGGAGAGGGCAGAGCTGCCCCAAGCACCCACAGGTACCTTGACCTCAGCCAGGCAGCTAAAAGGCTTTCAGGTTTGCCCGGGGTGCCCAGGCAGAGGTGATTTCGGTTGTTCCACTGGAGTAGCAGGAACACCTGAGAGTGACAGTGGCCTTCCAGGTCAGACCAATATTTGGCTTTTTCTTGCTTGGGCCAAGCTCTTTTCCCCTGGCTGTTCGACTTCTGCTTAACCTTCGAGTACGTGCCTGACTGCTGGGTCCTTCTGCCGTTGCAGCCGAGGAGGGACCGACGCGGGCTCGCCCTGTGGACAGTGAGATGGTGGTGCGGGAGCTCCCTCAGCCGCCGAGCACTCCCACCCCGCAGCAGCTGCGAGTGCAGCCGCGGG